TACAGTGAATTATGAAGTTCTGATATCAGTCCGTGATCAGCTTGTAAAATTATGAAGTTGTCATAAAACTATATTTCTAGCTGAAACTGGTTTAGATTCACACCTTTTGGCTATTAAAATTTATTTCAAGTATTGGTTTGTAGGGATTTGGTTGATTAGTTACAGGATTTCATCATGAGCTGACATTCGTTAGAGAACCATTGGAAAACCTGGGAGTACTGGACAACTGTTTCGTCCTAGTTTGGGACTCACACCACGGGGTTCGAACCCAGGACCTTCTGGTTACAAGGAGAGCTCGCATACCATTAAGCCACTGGGACCCAATCCAATGGCCGATGAATTCTAACTTCTGCCAATTCACGATATAGCGCAACCGCTAGCCAATTTATTTCACTTTACCTGTTTTAACCTCAGTATCGATTCTATGAAAATGTGAAATGGATTTTGGTAATAGTCTTTTATAGTTATCTATGTTTCTTAGATTTGTTAATTAAACATTGTTTGGAGGTAGGTGTTAAGAAATAGCGATCCAGGAGAACGAACGTATCAGTGTCCTAGAGACGCACAAGCAGAGTAAAACCAAGTAAATGACAGTGTAATCATAAAAAAGTGTTGTATTAAAAAAAATTTTTATTTTAATCCCTTACGTTCTGTGTGGAACATAGGAATTCAGGGTAGAGCTTTAAAGTTTCTGTAACAGTGGTTCTATTTCCAAAGGGATGGGTTGCTAGCCTCACACCCAGCCTTCCTTCATTACCGGTCTTACTGTTAGCTAAGGGAGGTAAAGGTGGACGTCAGCCGAGATTTGAACTGAGGACCACGTGTATGTTCGGCGATTATCCTACCAGTGAACCTTATCTCGGGCATAGAATTGTTTTAAAATGTTATTAAATGATATCTGATCAGAGAAACAGCAAAGTGAACACACATTTACATGCATACGTAAGATAAATATACAAGCTATCACATTACCAGTTAATGAATGTCATTGAATTAGGTATATTTTTATACAGAAAACACACCAATATGAATTTTCTCCTAAATAGAAAAACAATTGAAAGTTTGACTATTGCGTTATAGCATTTCTGAGACGGAAAATTTATCTGAAACTAGCCTATTATCGTATTTTGAGTAAAAAGTTTCCTGAGAAACTTATTGAATAATGTAATTTTCGAATTCGACCACGGACTGATATCAATTAGAGAACCATTGAAAACCAACAGGGAGTACTGAACAGCTGTTTCATCCTAGTCTGGGAATCACCAGCAGTACTCACCCACTGTCAGGGTTGGAACCCAGGACATTCTGGTTACAAGGCGAGCTAGCTCGTATACCATTCAGCCACTGGGACCCGATTCACTGGCCAGCCCGTGAATTCTAACTTCTACCAATTCGTGATTTAGCGCGACCACCAACCAATTTCATCGGTGGGACATCCATCCTCACACTTGACTGGTTGGACCTCATTGGTCACGACTTCTCACTAGAACTCTGGGAAACTCAGTCCTGAAGCAAGTCACTAGCTAGCATCAGCTTAGTTTTCAAGAGTTGGTTTGTAAGGTCAAACTCGAAAAACAAATCTAATCCTTGAAGAATAATGTAATGCCTAAATGACTAAACTGTTGTGCTTTAAGAAAAAATTGAATTAAAAGTCATCATATTCGTCATGTGATACCAGTTCTGATTCTATATTGCACCAAATAAATTTCTACAATTATCACGACTGATAGATGTGACGACGTTCAGACTTTAATTTCCTTGAATTTATAAGTATTATATCGGTTTCGAACATGGATATTTACCTGTATAAGTAACAGGATCAGTGAAAACAAAGATAACTAGACAGATGTTTCATTGTGACTTCCTGTTTACTGATCAGCTGTTCTCATTTACAGTTCCGTAAGGAATAGATCATAGAATTTTGAGAACAATACACTTTCCATTATTCATTAACTTTGATGGGAATTTCTCAAGGTTTCAGCAATAAATTATAAGTTCTAGGATATACTGCGTTTCTAACTGATAATATTAGATATTGTGGGTAATGCATGATAAATTTTCAGACGTGTGATAAAAATTCACATGAAATTTCAACCTACTGACCCAGCGATTGTATATTTAAAAGTCAATCTGAACGAAGAATATTCTCTTCAATAATTTCTCTTCAGGTCCTTACAATTATAAGATATAATATCTGTTGTCGTTACAATAAAGGCCAGGTCATCCGAGACATTCTAAGCGAGAACGGATATCCAGAGCCAACATAGGTTACAATAGTCGTAAACATGAACTGACAACGGTGGAGAAAAAGCCTCTGTTTTTACGTCTCCAGTTCAAGGGAGATACTCCTGCGGAGATTCTATCACAACGTTTAACCAGGGCGATCAAGAAAACTTTCTACTCTGCACGTCTGTGTCTATCCTTCAGTAGCCCTCCAATGTTCACCCAACACCTCAAAGATGTCTTACCTAACCTTAGCTCTTCTTCATACATATACCATTTCAACTATTCCCGTGGTTCAAGTTATATAGGGCGCATGATTAGGCAGGTTCGTCTACGGGTTCGAGAACATTTACCAGCTTGGTTCAGCAGAGAAGAAATTAAGTGCATAAAAAGCTCGACCCTGTCACACTTGGTCGATACTGGACATCATATCAATGTCAACACAGCTTTCAGGGTTATATACCGAATTCCGAAGTCGTTATCACGTACAGTTCGCTTACGTCTCCTACACATACCTGAGGCTGTTGCAATAAGATTGACTAAACCGGAACTTTGTATCCAAAAAGAACACGTCCAGACGCTGTTCCTACAGTGGCCAAACTTGGATTGATGATTCTTCTTCTCACCAAGAGTGCTCCTTCTCCTTAACCCTCTTGGTTTTTTCCTTTGCTTATTATTACAAATATTATTATTACAATTATTATTATTATTATTCGTCATAATTTATGCCCTTCATGCAAACATTCTCTCAACACTATTGAATTTTCCATTTATATACTATCCGGACTTATTATTAGTGATATTATCTCTTTTCTCAATATATGCCTCCACCTGTTTCATTTCACATATTTGTTATTTCATTATGAACCTCTCATTGCAGTCTTACTATCTCCTGTTTAATACAGACCACTTTGTACTAGCCACTCACTCACCTGACACCTTTTATAACCTTGAACTGACTTGTCAGCTTTCCTATTCCATACTCTACAAATGTATCATGACTAATCACCACCATTGTCTCCCCTTTTACAATATTTTGTAATCGATTTCAGCCTAGCATGTTTACCACACAAATACGACTATTTATTTTGAAACCCCTTAAATAATCTGTTATTCTACGTTAAAAATGTATCCGCCGTATAACTGGCCTTTATTGTAACGACAACAAATATTATATTTTATAATTGTAAGAACCTGAAGAGAAATTATTGAAAAGAATATTCTTCGTTCAGATTGACTTTTAATTCATAATATGGGAATATTCCACAATATCAGATTGCATATTTCATCCAAAACCTGAAAACCACAGGGGGAGGCAGCATTCCTAAGTTTGTGGTCACTCATTTCTGAACAGTCTCAGACCTGGTTATTCGGTGCTTTGACGGATATTTCAGGTACAGTGGGCTTTTCTTACCCCTCATCATAAGGCAGTTCTTCAATTTCATGGTTAATTGGATCCTAACCGAGAGATTCCAATGAAAATTATTAAAACTGGTCACATGGTTCATGCTTTAATTGTTTGTTTGTTCAATCAATCACTCTGACCTACACTAACTGACATAGTGATTGGTAAAGAAAACATCGGCAGAATTGGTAACAGTCCTACAACTTGGATAAACAATTTGACAAAGCACTCTATGAACGATTTTATCAACAACAGATTGCGGGGTGTGACACTAATACGCCTCTCCTTGAGGTGAAGTTCACCGGGCTTGGTTTCACATGCAACTGTAGAATGCTGTTTACAGGGCAGGCATTTAATCAATAATTTTATTATTTATGAATAGTAATAATAATAAAAGTTGTCATTATTATTAATTTACCTTGTGTTCCATTCCAGGAATTGTTTTCTTGTTAGATGCTCGTAGGCTTTGAAGTATCTCCGCGATGCAGCCGGTGATACAAGTTCAGTGATTATGAATGATGCAAAAAATCCAATTAATGTCCACCATAAACAAAATGAAGTTTCATTCGATGATGAAAGTGGCAGGAGGTTTTCAATATTCTTGCCATCTTGATCTAATACATTCATTGAATTCATATCATACAGGATTAGATGTTATTCGTTTGATTATATTTATATATGAATGCATAAGCAATTTTTGTATTCAGTATATAATATTCTGTTGAAATAATGACTACACTAGATAGATATATGAAGTTGAAGAGTTTGTTTGATTGGTAGTAGCCAAAAATCAAGTGTTAGCAGAAGAAAAAAAAGCGTTCAATGATTAATCAGATTTTTTGCTTATGAGTGAGTGAGCGTGCGTGCGTATGTACGCATGTATGTGTGTGTGTGTAGATTTGTACACACATGATTCGTTCTCTGATAGGTTAAACAAACTTTCACACATACACACACACACGCACGAAAGCTTTTTTTAGTGTGTGTGTTTAACTTTGGAGAATGAAAAAACAACTAATTGGAGGTTACTACTAGCAGTCTAATAATAATAATAATAATAATAATAATAATAATAATAATAATGTGCTATCATAAGAGAAATTTGAAGATTCTGACTTCTCTGTTACTGGATTATACTACTGAGTGTTTCGTGCCGATAGCAAGTCAATAATCACCTTGGTGAACATTTTTCACTGAACGATAGTCTTCCTTATTGTCGCTTAGCTTCTGGAATAAATTAAATGATTGTGGTTCACTGTTATTAAAATTGCTGAGAATTTCATCTTTCCGTAGATTTATCTATACTACTCGTCTTTGTTCTAGACGAAGAAGTCAACTTGTAATGTTTATGCATGGAAATAATTGTTGAGATTTAGTGCTTTAGGCGCTTTTGCTGCCTCGGTTTACATTGACTGTTCAAATTATTGTCTGATATGGGCAGTTTTTTTTCGTATACAGTAGCACAGTCAAACTTTGGAGATTGTATTTTGGCTAAAAGCGCTTCAGGTAAGCATACACTCTAATGGAAGTTCTAAAACACAGACAGTTGTCTCAGTAGAAGTACTGTACCCGTTGTGAGATCTAACAGTTCTGTTTACTTACGCCAAGTTCTGAAAGGTTCTCAAGCACAGCTAAGTCATTTTTCGGTTTTGCTGCATATTCAGTGAACTCATCGGCTAAAATTGTCTTGTGACTAATATTTGACTACTAATTCCAGTGAGCGTTACAGAAACTCGGTTCATCTTATGTCTTTGATTATATCAATGAATCAATTTATTGTCCTGTGAATCATGCCGTATCATATATTATATTACTTCATATGATTATGCGCATTAGGACGTATTTGAAATCTTATCCTATAAGTAGTAGCGTTTCCCTGAGTGATGCATGCAATGAATAAACTAATATGATCAATACAAAATGTTCATAATTTTTACCTAGTAGTCTCAACTCTTCAGATTATTACTTGATTCACTGAGCAAGTATCTAGAGGCTACTGGTCTGACACTAGGCGTGATCCGGATTTTCATTTTACCGTCAGTCACCACCACCCATTATGCCAACAGTAGTCTGTTATTAAAGGTCAGGCCAGACAGTCTCATTATCACAATTTATCTTGACTGCCAGAAGCGCATCTATGTCTGTGGATTCTTCTTTTGCAATACCTAACTCAAAATAATATTGATAACCTCATACTTTCGATGTCCAGTGTTCTAAATTACTTACTAAACAAGGTGCATGAATGTAACTGCAACACTATACGATTTCCTGTTTATTAACTTCATTTCAATGTATCAGGTGAGGAGGAACTGTTGTATGGTAAATAATATTGAGGCCGTCAGATTTGTAGGTGGTGTATTATTATTATTCATTATTGTTCCCTTGGGTTCCTAGTGCAACATAGGGCTTCAACTACACGTCTCCACTTGCTTCTGTCTTCTGCTGTACTTTTCACTTGCATCCATGTTAGTCCATATTGTTTCAGCTCCTCTTCACACGATCTCCTCCATGTCACCCTTGGACGTCCCACTACTCGCCGCTTCCCTTTCGTGTTCCACTCGAGCTACGGTCTGACGCGCGATGTCACCCAGTGGCCTCCTCAGCGAGTGTCCAATCCATCTCCACTTTCTCCTGCATATTTGTTGAGCGATTGGTCCTTGTT